TGTGTTATTCTCTTATACCTGGAGATTTAAGACACAAGCTGGAAGCATCAAGTGTCAAAGGAATCTTTATTGGATATGGAGCTTGTGATAAGGGATATAGAATTCTAAATCCATCTACCATGAAAGTGATCATATCCCGAGATGTAGTGTTTGATGAGAATGGAAAGTGGAATTGGGAAGAAAATAAAGTGAAAGAGATATGTGTTCCTTTAATTTCATCTGATTTTAGAAAAATAGATGATATTGAAGTTGGAGAGTCCTCTCAGTCATCATCTTCCATTTCTTGTGAAAGATTAAGTGCTCATGATGTATGTGCACAAACTCATTTTGTGGATACAGAAACTTTTGACTCAACTCCTTTGAAATGGAGAAACCTGAGTGAGATATATGAACATTGCAATCTGTACATTGTTGAACCTGAAAATTTTGAAGATGCTGCAAAGGATGAAGCTTGGAAAGTTGCTATGCAAGATGAAATTGATATGACAGAGAAGAATCAGACCTGGAACTTGGTGAATAGACCAACTGACAAACCTGTAATTGGAGTAAAGTGGGTATACAAGACCAAACTGAATCTAGATGGATCTGTGCAGAAAAACAAAGCAAGGTTGGTGGCTAAAGGATATGCACAGAAGCCTAATGTGGATTATAACGAGACATTTGCACATGTTGCAAGGTTGGACACTATACAAACATTGATTGCTCTAGCTGCAAAGAACAATTGGCAGTTATTTCAATTAGATGTTAAGTCTGCCTTCTTGAATGGTGTTCTTCAGGAGGAAGTGTATGTGGATCAGCCAGATGGATTTATTGTAGAAAGGGAAGAGAACAAAGTGTACAAGTTGAACAAGGCTCTTTATGGACTGAAACAAGCACCAAGGGCTTGGTACAGTGAAATTGATGCTTATTTTGAAGACTGTGGGTTCAAAAAGAGTGATAGTGAAGCAATTTTGTATACAAAAGGAGATAAGGATAAAGGAATACTCATTGTGTCAATTTATGTTGATGATATTATTTATACTGGCAGTAGCATTGAAATGATACAAGAATTCAAGGCTAATATGATGCATAAGTATGAAATGACAGATTTGGGTTTGCTACATCATTTTCTTGGAATGGGAGTTATGCAAACTGAAAGTAGTATTTTCATTCATCAAAAGAAGTATGCTACTTCTTTACTTGAGAAGTTTGGGTTACAGGATTGTAAATCTGTTAGTATTCCACTTGTTCCAGGTGATAAACTGAGAAAGAATGATGATAGTGGAGCAGTTGATGTAGCATAGTTCAGAAAAATTGTTGGCAGCTTGTTGTATCTCACTGCAACTAGACCAGATATCACGTATGCCTCTTGCTTACTAGCAAGATTTATGCATTGCTCAACTAATAAGCACTATGGAACTGCAAAAAGAGTGATGCGATACATACAAAGAACCTTAGACTATGGTTTGGAGTATAAGAAAGGTCAAGGAGTAATGTTGTTTGGATTCTATGACAGTGACTGGAGTGGATCAGAGGAGGATATGCGAAGTACTTCAGGGTATGCATTCTCTTTTGGAAGTGGGGTATTTTCTTGGTCCTCAGTCAAGCAACACTGTGTTGCATTATCCACTGCAGAAGCAGAGTACATCAGTGCAGCAGAAGCTACTGCACAGGCAACTTGGTTGAGCTTTGTGTTGGAAGATTTTGGTGAAACACAGACTGTGGCAACTCCGTTGAAATGTGATAGCACCTCTGCTATTGCAATTACTAAGAATCCCATTTTCCACCAGAAAACCAAGCACATCAATCGAAGGTATCATTTTATCAAGGAGGCTCTGCAGAATGAAATCATTGATTTCGTGTACTGTCCAACCAAAGATCAAGTTGAAGATATATTCACAAAGGCACTGGCCAAGGAGCAGTTTTGTTATCTCAGAGAGAAATTGGGAGTAAGATCAGTTCACAATTTAGAGGGAGTGTTAATGTGTAAATTGATGAATTGATTTAAGTAAATTACAAATATGTTTAGTGATGTGTCTTAGCTCATAGGCTAAGATTCAGTGATTCATTTTAAATATGTTAGTTGAGTCTCATAGGACTTGGTAGTATACAAATGTCTTAAGCTTAGTGGAGTATGAATTGGTTGGTTGAGATTGAATTGAGGATCTGTCTCTTTCTCTCTCTCCTCCAACGATTATTACATTAAAAAGTGTGTGAGCTCACAATCTGTGTGAGAAGCATATTCCTTGAAAAAATGGAGAACTTTCAGAGAGCACTCTCGCACTGAGTTTCAAGGAAGAAACATTCTTCTTCTTCTTCTCTTCTTCTTTCTTCAATAAAACAGCTGTATTCTTCTTTATTCTCTCTAACATCTTTAGAAGTTTCCTTAATAATAACGATATAAAAAGTTCGAAGTTTTTTTTTTTATTTTTTTATTTTTTTTTATTAATTGAAATTGTAATCGGAAATTGTTTGGTAAAAATCACGGGCGGAGCTAATGCATGCCTAGTATGTGCAGGCTGTGCAGCTGCGCTCACTTGGAAAAATAATGCAGGCTTTGTTCGATTAATTTTGGAGTGGCAAATTATAGAACCTGAGCGTAGTAAAACCTCCACTTAGAAAAGTAGTGGAGGCTTTGTCCCAATTTGTAATTTCATAATTTAACTATATTTATGAGTAATTAAAATTTTGGCTCTGTTACTGATAAAATTCAGCCTTAGTAAAACAAATGGCAACTTCAAGTGATTCAAAAACCAAAAGTAGCATTATGAACAACAAATATACGTATAGGAAATATAAAGATCAACGAATTAAAAAATCCAATAACTACTCATGATCACTCCCAAAGATGTAGAGTACTAGTACTAACTCTAATGCCAAGTAGCTAATCTGTTTTCACTTGCATTGCAAACTTTTGAGCGTCTTGGCTGACAGATCAAATGCAATGGTGCAGTCCATGGTGGAAGACTTCTTCTTCTTCATTATAAGCATCAGTTCAACCTTTCCAGTCACTTTAGCCGCACTGTTAAGAGTCAACACCCCGCTGCTCAATTCACTGCCAAGATTGGAACCACTTAATGCACTCGAACTCAAGCTCACCTCGACATTCATTTTTTTGGTGGAAAGCATTCCAGCCTTGCTCTTTGGAATAACTACTTGCCCAACAGCCGCGCCTTGGTGCAAAAACGTGACAGTGCTTGCATCAAACTTGTAAGGACCCCAGTTTGTATTTTTCACCTTGATTTGGGTTGTGAATTTTGTATCGAATGAAGGTGTTGCCAGGACAGAGTTGAGTTCTTGGACGTTGATGTTGCCTAGCCTGACCTTAGGAGTCTTAACTTTCATGACAGTGAGACTGATCACAGTTATGACAATGATCTGAAACACAATGAAAACACCAACATAAATGGCCAACTTGATTCTCTTCTTGCGTTTGAGCTCATCGGCTGATTGCAAAGACTCTGCATCACTTCTCTGGTAACCATTTTCCTGTGCCAAGGGATAGGCCTGGTTGGTTTTCTCAGCCATGTTTCTTTTGTTTTCTGGTATGCAATGGGGAGGAAACTTTCCCTACCTTTGTTTCGTGGGTTCGGTTTTCTTGGATTGAACTTGATAGTGGAGGGAGTTGTTTGTGGAATTATTGGAAGAGTAGCGTGCTATATATAGTGTTTGAAGTTTGGCCTATTTTCAATGAGTTAAGAGGGGGAATGTATTTCCAGGAAATCGCGAGTTAGGGTAGAATTTTATTGCTGACGCCAAACGCGTCCAAAGCCGAATGTGAAAACTTACTTTTGACTTCTAGATGATGGATGAGTTTTGAGAGGACTTTTAGCATATTAATCATCAAGAGAAGCTTCGATTCTATCCGTTGGCATACACCACATCTCCCAAATGGCAGGTGAGATTGTGAACCATTACTCTATAATAATCACCCTTCACTAATCAAATTGTTTATAGTATTATCAACATTTATATTTTCTTAATTTTACTGATTCTGTTGTCCAATAAGGTTTCCTCTTCAATTATTGCTTGTGTGACACGCCCCGATCCCGATATTTCCCCGAATACTAGGATAGGCACGTGCTGGCCGACACCCGAGGGTGACGAAAGCCATTTATTAAGTGCAAATGCTGAAACAACGGATATATAAGACTTATAAATATAAAAGAATAAAGAATATGCATTTAAGGAACGTGTTCAGAGCATACAACTAACTAGAACATCGAAAGAAATAATATAAATTGGAGTGAACAAAAGAATGGATCCTACACCGAAAGGACTCGAAGATGCTGAAGCGGAAGTGCCTGGATGTCAGGATTGTACGCCTCGATTCTAAGTCCTGAAGGGGGCGCAAAACAAACATGAGTGGACCAAGTTGATATATATATAGTAAAACAGTTATCAACGTACTAACCCCCAGGTTTTATGAAAACACATATATAATGATAAACATAGGTTTTCCAAAACCTAGCATGCCGTGCAATATCTCAAATCATAACTTGTATATATAATAATCACTAGTGAATTGTCCGATAACCCCCAGGCCCCATGCCGACTCCCCGTCTCTGAGCAGACAATCAGAGGAAAAATACACTTCAGGCCCCATGCCGGCTCCCCATCCCTGTGCTAAATAGCCAAAGGAAACATACTCCAGGCCCTATGCCAACACCAAACCGTCGCCCGGGACGGACCGGAATCTATCCCTACGTCCCGTAGCGGAAAGGACCACTAGGTAAGTACAAAACCACTGAACATATTTATATTGAAAAACAACTTCGTAGTATAAAGTCATCCATCATCTATACTACAAAGAGGTGTTCTAAACATGTTCTAAATATCATATCGTCATCCATCGGATATTCTATAAGGACATGGGTTATAGGAAAAATAGTAATAATTCAATCTAGCCTCAGTAAGCATACTATCTCATAAAGTACTTCATAAAACATAAGTATTAAATCATGCTTTTCATGTATGCATTTCTATTAATAAAACATGCATTTTTAGAAGGGGTCCACTCACCGTACACCGATGATGCAAAGCTGTACCAAAAAGGTATAGCGGAATCACCGTTAATAATTTCACCTATTCACATAAAGGAGTACCTTTGGTCAAACTCTATTCAAACTAAGTCAACAGTCAACTGGTCAGAGGTCAAAGTCAATTGGGCTTTGAATTGGGTTGGGCTGAAAAGGGCCTTAAAGGTTTTGAGGAAAAGGGCTTTCAGCCCCTTAACAGAAAATGGCCCAAAGGGCCCTAAATTCCTAAAACAGAAAATAAAATAAATAACCTTAAAAGGTTTTTGGGTTGGGTCATGGGCCACATGCCCTAAACATAAACGGCCCGAGGGCCTTTGGGTCCTAAAACAATAACAATTAAATTAAATTAAAAAAAATAATTAAAAGGATATGGGTTAGGATTTGGGCTTCCCCACCACACGGGCCTAAGGCCCTCTTGCTACAGGAACCGGCCTGGAAGGCCTGGCCTCACCGGAGCACCACCACCGGAGCTTCACAGCTCCGGCCGACTTCCACACACAACCCTAGACTTCGATCTAGGTACCAAAACGAAGAGCAAGACGAGGGGAGAATTTCTATACCTTCCTTTCGTCGTGGAACGACCGGAGATGGCCGGAATAACCCCCGAGGTCGCCGGAGTTGGGTGTGCTTACACCCGGCTTCGATTTCGTCCTATAACCTCCAAAAATCACGAATTAACTCCAATTAAACCTCAATCTCGCAAGAATCAAGGACGAAAAGAGAGAATTAGGGGCTTACCTAACCGGAGATTGAAAATCTCGCCGGAGCTCCTTTTCCGGTTCTCTGGGGTCGCGGGAACGAGAGGGAGAGAGAGAGAGAGCAGGACGCGGTGATGAAGGGTGATGGGCTTCCTCGCGTGGGGAGATGGGTGCGTGCGTGTGTGCGCGGTGCAGAGAAGAGGGAGAGAAGTGAGAGATGAGAGAGAGCCGAGAGGGAGAGACATGAAGAAAGAAAAGAAAAACAAAAAAAAGAAGAAGAAAGAAGGGAGTTCACGGGGGGGAAAGAGAGAAGAAAGAGAAATTAGTTGGGGGGCTGCCACGTGGCAGATTTAGAAAGAAAAGGGATCCAATGCTTTGGATCCTGATTTGGTAGACAAAAAAGATGAAATTGATATATTTAAAACATTTAGGGGTAATTAAAAACATAAATCTTTATAATTAGGGGGCAGGTGTTACAATCTTCCCCCCTTATAAAAATTTCGTCCCCGAAATTTAAAATTACTACTAAACTGAAATACTCTAAAATAGTAAGAAGAATATATATATATATATATATATATATATATATATATATATATAAAGAGAAATCTAGTGAGAGTGGGTGCATCAAAGAGAATATGTCACACCGTCGCGAGCGGGTTGCAAAATCCTCTATCATGCCTCCAAACTCTTACTTTCATCCCCATCAGTGTAAAAATAGAAAACATACTTTAATAAGATATAAGGTCAAAAACATATATTGACGTAAGGTCAAAAATAAGTACATAAAATACGATAACGTCAAAATAGAGATATACTAACATATAGGTCGAAAACTCGAGCTGAACTTAAAATTGAAAATGGAAAACACTTTCCTCTAAACATTTGTAACAACAAAAACAAATAACTAAAGTAAAGGAAGTTAAAATACTTATACTGAAAACCAAAACTGAAAATGGAAATGGGTCTCGCCCAAGAATTCGTAACTTCACACTCCGAGAAAAGATGTCTTTGGGTCGAGCCCCAAGAATATCAATTCTTAATCTGCATCAGCTGCTGTAGACGAATCTTCTTGTCCACTTGCTTAACGAACCCAACGAATAAGTTATCGATACAACAGTCGGCCGCCCGTGATATCGATCATATATTTGTTGTCTCGATAAGCAAGCAGTAATTTCCTGATGGTGCACAATTTCACATGTCGTAAATTCGATCCTCCGAATACAAGCTCGCACAACTCCTCTAACAACCAATGTTGCATGTAGCAACTTTCGTACCATGCCGCAACAAGTGCCATACTCAAACCGAACAAAATACGAACTGTCGTCGTAAAACTTTATCCAGCACCAAGCATCCTATCCTCCTCAGTTCTTCCAAATGTGACCAACTACTCCAGAGTATCACTAGTAAAGAACCCATTTGAAAATTGTACCTTGGGATTCAAGAGAAGTGGCTACCATGTTAGTAATAGACCCAAAAGCTCGAACCAAGCAAGCAGAAAACGAGAAGTCATCTTCCTCAACACGCAGTATCTCTTGGGAGTTGTTCTAATGCCCAATCCACTTCTCCATTTTTGCTTAGTTGCAGACTTCTAGTCAAACAAAGTCAAAGTTGGAGGAAAGAAGAAGGACTCTCAAGTGATCAACGTAAAAACCCCATAAGAGCACACCCCATTCAATAGAAGTTTAAAGATCTTCCGATTCTCACCTCAACAGCACTGTGGTGACATTCCAGAGTGCACCAAACAGATCTGCTATAAGTGTTTCGACAACCACGTATTCATAACAATAAGGTTCAGAAGTGAAGCAGTGGAAATATACGTTGAGACGAACACATATCATCATAAAAAAGGTCTACCAGAGTAAGATATGATAGTTATGAATGGTAGCAACATAATGAGTGGTGACCATTCAATTCAGCATGAAGATAGTGATGCAATATGCTATTCATCTGCACCACAACCTTTCACCAGTATCTTACCAAAAGACGACTCAAACTTCACATCCTCGAGGAACTCTTTCTGGTAAGTCTGGTAAGCTTGTCAAAATATTATGCTCCCAACATTCCTGCCCAAATCGATGAAAATTGAGCGCACACTTCCGCCAAATCGATCAATCGTGAATTCCTCATTGATTGAGCGAGAAACCATGTCGAGAAGGCTAAAAGAACACTCAAGAATTTGAGAGTCAAAACAAGTTTATTAAAACTGGAGCACAAGATATTGCGATTTGAACGAGAAACCATGCCGAGAACAAACGTTTTTTTTTTTTTACACCCTCCGTATAATATCCCGGCATGATCTGGTTCACATTGAGAAACAAACAAGTGAAGGAAAATGAAGATGCAGAAATAGAAGTCACTGTTTATGATTATTTGGCTAATCATCACCATAAGGTTGACGGGTTTCTTAGCCAAAAGGGAAACAGGTCTAAGCTCAAAGAATAGTTAACAACTGCTTATAAGATTTGACGAGGCCAAAGACATTTCGAGATTCACAATACTTTGTGAGAGCTGTTTCAAAGTTCATAAATTAAACATAGAACCTTCGAATCAACAGAATGACGAAGAAGAAAGATACAAAGCAGCCTGCGTACGCATGCAGTGACACGATTGGCTACCTTAAAGTGATGCCCGTGAGCAAACCAAAGCTCAATGAGTCTAGAGAATTTTATAGCAAAGCTCGATCTTCATACAATGATGAATATGGTAGAGTATCAAGCCATTACGCTGAAAATTACAAGGTTAAACAGTTAGTGGACAAGAGCACTAGTCAGTTGGGCCACAAGCAAGAGGCTAAGTTCACCTTTACGTAAAAGTGCGTGGACAAGGAGTTAGGGTTTACCGCCGAGTACCAGACCCCGGTGAAATTCAAGGAGTCTAATTATCCAAACAAGACTGGATCTTCATCATCCAAGTCCAACTACCATAACAACAAGAATTGTAACTCCATTTAGGGAAATTGATGGGAATAGCATCTGCTACCGAGGAGTTTCCCAAGAAAAGTAATTAATGCGAACGAAGTCAACACTCAAAGAATTTGGTATGAAACTGACGGTCAAAGGTTAATGAACTTGATTTCGTCATTGGAATAAGCAAGAAGGTTATCAATAGAACAATCGACAAAGATTCATTCTAAAGATTCACACGAATGTCCTCAATGGAAACGAGTCTGAGAACATTGATTTTCTCCCAAGATTTCGATGCAAAGTCGACTCCGCCCGCAATTCCTAAGGAACGCATGTTGCAGAGTGGCATCGCCATTTCGAATTTACAACTAGTCTTGACCAGACTTCCTCAAACTGAGATTTCTAAAACACGTCGCTTCCAAGTAACACCGACTATGCCCGTCATTCCCAAGGAATGCACGTCGTAGAGTATCAATCTGAAGCTGAAAGTCGTCCAACAAATCAAACACGTCACCGATGAGGCACAATCCCGACACGAATTTTCTTATATTTCAACCGGAATGTGACAATTCAAACAGAGAAAAGCTCGCACAACTGTGCCGAATGACATCAAATCTAGAAGTCCTGACATCCAAATGATGTCAAAACCGACACACTACTTTAGTAAGAGAATATCCTAAGTATGCTCTGAACAAACCACGCTCTGATACCAATCTGACACGCCCCGATCCCGATATTTCCCCGAATACTAGGATAGGCACGTGCTGGCCGACACCCGAGGGTGACGAAAGCCATTTATTAAGTGCAAATGCTGAAAACAACGGATATATAAGACTTATAAATATAAAAGAATAAAGAATATGCATTTAAGGAACGTGTTCAGAGCATACAACTAACTAGAACATCGAAAGAAATAATATAAATTGGAGTGAACAAAAGAATGGATCCTACACCGAAAGGACTCGAAGATGCTGAAGCGGAAGTGCCTGGATGTCAGGATTGTACGCCTCGATTCTAAGTCCTGAAGGGGGCGCAAAACAAACATGAGTGGACCAAGTTGATATATATATAGTAAAACAGTTATCAACGTACTAACCCCCAGGTTTTATGAAAACACATATATAATGATAAACATAGGTTTTCCAAAACCTAGCATGCCGTGCAATATCTCAAATCATAACTTGTATATATAATAATCACTAGTGAATTGTCCGATAACCCCCAGGCCCCATGCCGACTCCCCGTCTCTGAGCAGACAATCAGAGGAAAATACACTTCAGGCCCCATGCCGGCTCCCCATCCCTGTGCTAAATAGCCAAAGGAAACATACTCCAGGCCCTATGCCAACACCAAACCGTCGCCCGGGACGGACCGGAATCTATCCCTACGTCCCGTAGCGGAAAGGACCACTAGGTAAGTACAAAACCACTGAACATATTTATATTGAAAAACAACTTCGTAGTATAAAGTCATCCATCATCTATACTACAAAGAGGTGTTCTAAACATGTTCTAAATATCATATCGTCATCCATCGGATATTCTATAAGGACATGGGTTATAGGAAAAATAGTAATAATTCAATCTAGCCTCAGTAAGCATACTATCTCATAAAGTACTTCATAAAACATAAGTATTAAATCATGCTTTTCATGTATGCATTTCTATTAATAAAACATGCATTTTTAGAAGGGGTCCACTCACCGTACACCGATGATGCAAAGCTGTACCAAAAAGGTATAGCGGAATCACCGTTAATAATTTCACCTATTCACATAAAGGAGTACCTTTGGTCAAACTCTATTCAAACGATTGAATTTGGGAAAACGGACTTCAAAAACGAGTCCAGGACGTCGAAATTAGCCTAGGAGAGGTCCTGGACGAAACCTCGAAAAGTCAACTCAAAAAGTCAACGTTGATCGTTGACCGATCAAAGTCAAAGTCAACTCTGACCGTTGACCGTTGACTAAGTCAACAGTCAACTGGTCAGAGGTCAAAGTCAATTGGGCTTTGAATTGGGTTGGGCTGAAAAGGGCCTTAAAGGTTTTGAGGAAAAGGGCTTTCAGCCCCTTAACAGAAAATGGCCCAAAGGGCCCTAAATTCCTAAAACAGAAAATAAAATAAATAAAAACCTTAAAAGGTTTTTGGGTTGGGTCATGGGCCACAGGCCCTA